TCTTTGCTGCTGTCTCATTTGTCTTCAGTGGCTTGCTTGGTGAGATGCGAGATCCAGGTTTCGTAGCACGTAGCATAGGTTGGACGATACATGACAACACTAGATGCCAAGCACAGGCTTCAAGCTCAAAAGTTATTTTGTTCCAGCCAAGTGATGACCTTGCGTCGCCCTGTCAACGTTAGCTTTCACCCCTGGCTACTGCAGGCAGCAGCACCACAACAAGCACCAGCTGCGTATACACTTCTACAACATCATGTTACACAGTGACAGGCCTGTGATGGTTGCTAGGTTCGAAGTTGCAGATGCCATGCTCTCACAGCTATCACAGGCGATTTTGTGCTTCTGTACATGTCTGCAGGCACCAACACCTCTACCACCGCGACCGCAACAAGAACGACAACGTCAACGTACACAACGTACACCTTCACGAGATCCTCTTCGTCAGTGACAGGTCCGTAATGGTTGCTGAGTTAGACAGCTCACAACGTGTGATGATAAATGTGCTGTCGTAGAATGTCTGCAGGGACCGACATATCTAGCATCCACATCGCAACAAGTTCCACAAGGACATCCACATCCACGTCATCTTCCACGGCGACAGGCCTGTGATGATTGCCAAAGTGGAAATCTCAAATGCAAAGATAACACTTAAGCGCGATTTCGTAGCATTTTGTAGAGTGATTGCAGGCACCACCACTACCATCACAACTGCAACAAGGACGACAACGTACACCTTCACCAGAAGTTCTTCGTCAGTGACAGGTCCATGATCTTTGCTCAGTTGGACAATTCACAATGTGCGATGGCGATTGTGCTGTCGTAGAATACTTGCAGGGACGGACAGATCCACCATCAACACTGCAACAAGTACCACAAGGACATCCACATCCACATCATCTTCCACAGTGACAGGCCCAAGATGGTTAAGCAAGCGCTAAACGTATTTTTACAGCATGTTTGCAGGGACGGGTACGTCTACCATCAATGCGGCAACAACTTTGACAATCTACATTTCCACCATGTCCTCTTCGTTAGCAACGGGCTAGCTGCGTGGGCTGACTTCTGCAAGAGCAATTCCAGACACGATCACACCGGATCACACAGGTACAGATTTTTTGAACCATGTCACCATGTCTGTCAGCCACTGGCTGGGTATTTGCTGTATTGCCTGTGCAGGTACCAGCACAACAGCGCTCATGCCTGGAACAAGTACGGCCATGCACACATCCACTGCGTTGAGTTCCTCACTTACAGGCCTGTTCACCCCAGATATTAAGAGACCGAGGTCCGACACATTGATTTATGGTCTGCCATTGCACATGGTAGATGCACCAGCTCGTTAACATGGGGCAGCCAAGTCAATCCCATTTCAGGACGTCACTGAGCAGCAGCTCCATAATCGAAGTCATCATCAGCCCCGGAATTCCCAAGCTCAAAAGGAGATGTGCATCAGAAAGTCTGGATTAGCTGAGGCTCGGTTAATCAATATCAAACGAGGCCAAAACCAACAACGATTCCCAGAAGGAAAGCCAATAGAATTTGGTATCGGGCCAGAAAGGAAAGGAAACGTGGGCTGGAGAACATGTCATGCAGTTTCTAGAAACCCGTGAATGGTGTACATGTCATAACAAGTCCAGACGCTGGAACTTGCTGTATGTGCAAAACACGCAGCATGTTCAGCTTTTCAAGACATTCGATGACTGCTAATTATAGTGCCGACAATGTTTTTTGCAGGGTATCCACAACCTTCAAACGCATTCTCAAAGGCTGTAAGTGTAAATTGTAAATTGTAAAGTTGCTGTATTTGCAGGCTTATAGCTCAAAAAGCTTCCAGATGCTGCAAATTGCAGTATCCACAACTTTGGAGAGCTCGAAATGCGTTAGACTTTCAGTGCCTGCAGCCCTCTCCAAGCCCAAAACGCTGCAAGTTTCAGTGTCTGCAATCTTTATTTACAAGGGCATCCAGCCAGCCAGCCAGTCCACTGTTTCTGAAGAGTCGCCTCATCATTTCTGATAGTCGTCAGCTACGGCCAGGTCCTTCAAGTGTGTACAACAGAGGCCTCTGCTATTGTAGATTCGCGTCCAACCTGGCTCAGATGCTAGCGCATCTTCATCTGGTGCTATGTTTCTCAACGGCTTGCAGAAGCAGAGAAGCAGAGGTGGTATCGTGTTTATTGAATCCCCGGAGCCAGGGCGGCATCCGCTAGGCGAACGTGTGGGTAGATTGAAGCTTCCCCGTGGTTCCAGATTTTGTTCTCGCACGGAACAACTTGAACGAACCAGATGTGCCAAGAATCACGGTCACATTCCCATTTTCATTTTCCGCACAGTGCCAAAGGCTGTGAAACTTGTCCGTGGCCAGGGGGGGGGGGCGAGAGCGCAAGCGCAAACAAAGAAGAAAACTTGAGAGCTATGCCCATGCCCATTCAGCTAGAGAGCGCGCGCCGCGCACCGCTCTCAATGGGCACTAGCTTGTCTAAAACTGCTTTCGTTTAAGCGGGCATCTCCGCGGGCTGGCGTGAGTAGTCGCTGCGTCAAGACAGGTTCACAGCGCGATACAATGCCATGGGCGTCAAATGAAGCAAGCCGGCTTAGTTAAGCTCCCAAGACTAGTATCTTGATTTTTTTGAATCCCGTCAAATGCTGAACCTGGCCTTAGCTGCACCACCCAAAGCCAGTGAGTGACTTGAGTTTTGATGCCTGTTTTGGCCTTTCTG